ACACACACACACACACACACACACACACACACACACACACGAGGATTTCCAGTTCAGTGTCTTAATGTAATAATTTTGTGTCTTATAAAAGTCCTTCTCAACCCTTGCAGACGAAGAAATGGAAATGTGAGACAGAAAATGGTCCTCTATTTCCTACAGGGTCAGTATTGAACAAATGCATTTCCTCAACAAATCGTTTCTCCTGGTTTCAGAGAGAGCAGCAAGCCATGTGATCCTGAGATCCAGATAGCCAACCTAAGTCAACCTAATCACAGAGCTGGAAGACCTCCATGATGAAACCCCAGAAGACAGGAAGTCCTCCCAAAGTTCATCGTGCAGCAGGATCAGTGTCACTGCAATAGTCGCTCTCCATGCTCTAACTTTACAAGCTTCATTTAGTCCCCTTAACCAGGAATTCATGTAAAACAATGGGTACTTTCTCCAGAGTAAAAGAGACAAGGATGCTTGATTTCAACGTTCGGACTTGGGTATATTTTATATCGTTGAAATGTAATTCCACAAGCCTTCTGCCCTTCAGTCATACTAAATGTTAAAGATTGCAAACCCAGTGATGATAGTGCACACTGTGAATCCCAGCACTCAGTAGGCAGAGGCAGGCAGATATCTGTGAATTCAAGGCCAGTTTGGTCTACAGAGCGAGTTTTTGCTACAAAAGGAGGCCCTGTCTCCAAAAATGAAAATAAACAAACACAGAAAAACATTGCTGTAGATCTCCCCTGAAGCTCTCTGACAACATGAACTGCATAGCCTAGGCTTGTACCAGGTAGTTCGCAGGCAACCTAGGTACCTTTTATTGATTTTCATTCCCCTGAACAAATGGGTGTATTTGTACCTGGGCCATAGAATTATAGAGAACAGAACACTTTTGTAAATTCCTAGCACGTGATAAAACATGCTGCAGTTTTAAAGGCAATCACAGTAGTGTAAACAAGCAAGCCTGTAATAAAAACTATTAAGTCAGTAATAAGTATTAGAATATAATAAAAGTTTTGACACTAAATACTACTCAATGTCCTGATGGACTTGTCAATTTTATTCAAAGCTTTTCTGACTGCATTTCTGGCTGACCGTCTGTCTATCTGTGACTGACTAATTCTTTCTAGCCCACCGTTCTTTTCCACAAACTTTAATAATCATATTTGGGACATTTAATAAGTGATGTCCTTTTTTTCTGACTGAGATGAAGAATGTCAGAGGATGAAGGCACCATAATGTAACAAGCTCTTGGGAAATTCATTTAGAAAAACAGCTTTAAAAATAGACTTTTTCGTGAGGAGCAGTGGGAGGGCAAAGTAGGAGAAGAGAGGGACAAATACAGGAAAAGACAATAACATATGCATGAAAATGTCATAATGGTACCCAGTCTTTCACACAGTAACAAAAGAAAAACAGCAGCAGCAGTGACACCAACAACAAGGGGAGGAGCTTTGAATTCTGATAGCGGGATAAGGTCCCACCAAGACTGGCTTCCAGATCAGCTGAGGCAGGTAAGTGACGTTATCTGGTTCAGCTTTCTCAAATTAAAGGTGAGATTATTGTTCCTTGATTCATTATACTAATAAGAGATCATCTTCAATTTTAGAAACTTCAATTTTAGAAACTAATGGCAAGTTCATGACTACATTTTTTAATCTTTTGTTGTTGTCACAAGACACCCATGTCCCTCCTAGAGCAATCTTGACCTGCCAGAGGTCCACCTGTCTCTGTCTCCCCAGAACTGGGATTAAAGGCATGTGCCTCCATGCCAGGATTATTTTATTATTATTATCTTTTAGTTCCTGGCAGTCCTTAAGACCTCCTAAGAATAAGATGATATTGATTTATAAGTTTAGTACAATTTAACAAGTCAAGATAGAGACTCCATGGATGGATTAAAAAAAATTTAAAATTAAACATCACCATGCCTGGGAAGTTATCAGGCAAAATGAAAATGATAAAGCCTAAGTTAACACACAATGTGTGTTAACACAAAATGTGTTAACACAAAATGTAGAAATTCACCAAAGATGAAGTTAAAATATTGACATCCTTATAAGGCAAGTGATCTTTCAGGTTAGAGAAAATAGATGTTTTCCACAGAATTTTGAAAAGCTTCCATTTAATTCTAGTTATTGGAAGAAAGGAGGGTACGTTAGGCAAAGATTCACCCAAAACTCTCTCCTGACAGCAGACTCTAAACAGAGGGAACAAAGCATCTGTGCATCATGGGATCAGGTCTCCTGGAATTGACTCCAGTTATTCTGAGCTTTAAGCATCAGAACGATAGCAGAGATGATCAGTAAGACAAGTGTCTTTAAGTGAAAAGTTGCATGCACCATGTGAGTAAAAGAAGCTGTCATGTTTACTTACCACAGTGAAGAGGGGCAGGCAAGTCCTGGGTCCTTCTGGCAAGTGAGTCTTCCCAGGTCATATTTGTACCTTCAGTGTTTGCAGAGCGCTTGTCACCATGAATATCCTCAAGGCTTTAACATCATTGCATCAAGGAGAAGAGAGTCCTCTGCGGAACCTCACTCCCTAAAGGATGATTTTTCTCTCCCTCCTCAATTACTACATTTGTTTGCTTCAAAAGTTACCTCTGTATTAATTAGGTTTGCATTATATTATAGAAACATATGAAGTGAACAACAACCAGGCTTCTGTGTCTAGAGATCCCCATGTTCCCGGTCGCCTCTTTACCTTTCTAAATTAAATATATGAATCAGAATACAAGCCTGCTTCTGATACAGAAGGAAGTCAGTGCCCTGTCTCAAGTCCTTCTTTCTAAGGAGTACATGATAAATCAGTCAACGCTCTATACTCTGAGCGTATCCCAACCACACACACACACAGACACACACACACACACACACACACACACACACACACACACACACACACACACACAAACAAGATGTATTTGCTATATCTGGAAAGGATCTAGATCACAGTCCACCATAAGTAATTCTTTTCTTCCTTCTTCGTTAAATAAACGGTATCCTCAAACCACATGGACTTCCCTTTTTCTACTTTAAGTTTGTCCTAAACCACTGTATTCTTGGAAACCAAAAGTGCTCCTGATACCCAATACATGATACATGCCTGGGCTGTAAATGAAGGAAAGCCCTAACTGTTTTTATTCTTGATTTTGAATGGGAAATTGAGTCATTGGTTGATTGTGTTGGCCCATCATATTTTCGAGGGCAGATAAAATATAAAAGTAAAAACTCTAATTTTACCTGAAGCAAAAGGGCAGGATTAATCTCTTTCTTTTAAAACAGTTTTTCATATATTGTGCATAATTTTTTTCTCTTATCCCTTTGGGATATTTGCAAGTTTTTGTTTTATCATAACAATAACCCTCTGTTCTCTTACTGAACCTAGAATCAACTCTAGGGAAAACGCTT